AATTATTTCCGATTTAATCAATTTTTGTGTTTAATTCTACTGGCCTATTTATTAGGTTAACAAGCAGCTGCTGCTTGCATCATCTGCATGCAATCTTTAATACATGAATGGAGCACAAAATAAGTATGTTATTTTGTAAGAACTTTCTGAAAATAAATGATAAGTACCTACCTACATATCTAACTTTAACAGAATCCTACCTGTAGCATACCTATCAAAGGATGGCTGGATTACCTTACTTACGACTATTGTAATATTTTTATTTAAAAGAAAAAACCTTTTTTGATATTGTAGTCTGTAGGTAATATTGGTAATATCATTATTACGTTCATCTTGAATTAGTATTTTTTAAGAAAGTTAAAGTCGCTTAACTTTTTCTGTACACATTGTTTTCTTTCCTGTCCAAGTTTGAACTTTGGTTAAACCCTCGAAGGGCGGTGCTTTGACCGTAACGTTCGACATTATCGGCAGTGCAAACAGACAAACAAGTTGGAAATGCGACTTTCAAAATTGTTTACAGATGTAGGCAGGTACGTACCTACCTTACCCACCTGTTTTGACAGAGGGACTTTAAAATTCTCCTCTAGGTAATTGTTGGTATTGGTGTTAAATTAGATAAGTTTATCCTTAGTCTGTGGTCTTTTTTATTAGTTATTAAATACAATCGTATATAATATAGGTCTATCAAAGCTTTATTTCAGTTTGCAAGTGAGCAAATCATCGATATAGGCTGCTGTCATTAGTAAAAAGGCTACAGGACCGCTAACCATAGATAGGCTTCCCGGAATTATTTCCGGATTGTCCAGTTTGAAGCAGCTTGCCTTTATTAGGTGAAAATTAGTTACCTACTTTCAAAAATAAATTTTGACTAGGTACGCAGCTAAACGAATACGGAATTGAATCTGCCACGAATCACGAATGTTTATGTACTTCTAGGTACTTCTGTAGCATTAGGGCAGTTTACCAAAAGCACTAAAACCTGTAAGCCACTAAATTGACCGTCATAGATAGCTGGCCGCCCCGCGCGCGTCGGTCTAACTTGTCGACGAGACAATATTTGCCAATCGACCGGATTCCGAAGTCACAGAGAGGTACGTACAGTCACGATCAATGAAATGTAGGTACCTACTGTTGAAGGGTTTTAAATAAACAACTTGAAAAAATCGAACTGCCTAACTAAGAGTTACTTAAGACTATTAGGGCCGTTTACCAAGACCACTAAAACCTGTAAGCCACTAAATTGACCGTCATAGCTGGCCGCCCCGCGCGCGTCGGTCTAACTTGTCGGCGAGACAATATTTGCTGAGTAGTCCGCAGTCGCATAGGTACAGTCACGAGCAATGAAATTTACTGTTTGTAGGATAGTTGTGGTGGCTTAATACATTTAATTTTGCTCGTGACTGTACCGAGTGGAGTTCAATCTATTCAACTATTTTATTAGGATTTGTATAGAGCACGAATAAAATATCGTTCACGTTATACTACCATACTATAACGTGAACGATATTTTATTCGTGCTCTATACAAATTAATTGTTTTGCTTTTCTTTTTTGTAAGAAAACGACGGCGGCGCCGCTAAACTCAGAGAACTAATCTAAGCTAAACTAGAACTACGTTGTCCGTCCCGTCCACCAATATATAAGCTAAAACTACGTTAGTGATGGTCAGTTTTTACTAGAACGTCCAGTTAACCGAGCTAAGTTAGTTCCACTTAGCTGGGGCATTTCACGTAGCTTAGCTGGCATAGTTTGTGGTGGACTCACATGTATGAAAAAGTGGCTCAAGTATGCGAGCTAAGCTAAACTTATTTAGTTTAGCCGGCGGTGGATGTTCGGCTTTATGGTACCTAAGTACTGACTGTACGATTATTATAGTTTCTCAACCCCTTGGGAATCAATAATGGCTCATGTTAGCGATATTGAAACCGATTGAATCTGTCGAAACTCCATACAAAAACCACCAGTTTTTGTTATACATAGTTAAGTTACGGTCAAAGTTAGGTGGTGCAACTCAGCCTTAATATTATAACGGCGAAGCCGCGAGCAAAAGCACTAAAGCTGCGTTACATTTCTATCATAGTGGCCATGGCCAGTTACTTAAATTATAATTGGATTATAAAATAAAATACCAAATCTGACTCAATTCTTACTTTATTATTTCAACAACCAACCAACACTTCACATTACAACAAAAAAACCTTAAAAACAACTCGAGAGCCTATTTATAAACAAAACTTTTTACATCTAAGAAGTAGGTACTAAATTGGCACAGATTTTCAGTGCCTTGATTTTAAAATAACAATGTAAAATGGAATAAATTAAAACAAAAACGGCTTTAGCTTCATCCGCATAAGGGCACATTTCGTTTGTGGAAATTGCAATATTTTTTTTTATTTTTTTTTTTACATTTTACAACCCGGTCCAGTTAACTGCGCACCTTGCAGCCGTGACGTCACTTCGACGCTCTGGTTAGGACAGGGCAGCGGGGAAGTGTGCGGGTAGGGTTGCCATGTTTGGCTTTTTACGGTCTTGTCCGGCCTGTCCGGCTTTTTATTTGGTTGCCGCGCCAGGCGAAAGTCGAGCCACAGAATAATATGAAGCGCCACGCATCAGGGATCAGGATGTTGGGCAACTGATGATGATAGTACTCACTCGGGTCGTAACTATGACACTAATTATGTCCGGCTTTTAGGGTAAAATGTCCGGCTAAATGAAAGCACAAGAGTCCGGCTTTTGTGTTTTTGGCAACCCTATGTGCGGGTGAGTGCGAGGGAGAGTCGCATTCAGCGAGGTAAGCAGTTAGCTCAATCGGATTGTACTTTAAAAACAATACATATTTCTGTCAATTGCTTAAAGATACAGCTAAAGATACCTCAGACTTGACAATTTATTAAATACAGTTTTCCACGAGCTTAAATGTTTACACGCGTACTTATTTAATTCTAGATAATAATATGTACAGAATATTATAAAGTATTGCTATATCACAGATATGCAATCAGTTATTCGTACAAGAAAAAAACAAAACATTATTGCTTTGAACATAAGAAAATTATGGAAAAGTAGTTAGATATAAATGCTGTACAGCCAGCGTCAAAAGTAGTTCGTGACATCCAAAATGACAAAAAAGTCGATAACTCAACCTTATTCCAATGAGGGCTATCGTTTTAGCGCTCACCAGTTAGCGCCACTGTAGGGTAAGGTCCTGTCACTTGCTAGTAGCGAAGACAATGGCACCAACTGGTGAGCGCTAAAGTGGTAGGAGGACTATCGCAATTGCACTCATCAAGATGGCAGCACTGTAGAGTAAGGTCCTGTCAATCGCCAGGGGTGCCAACTGTTTAGTATAAAAACGATAGCCCTCATTGTAACAAAGAACGTTGCGAACTTTTTGGCCACTTTGGATGTCACGAACTATTTGACACTGACTGTACATACTGAATTTGAATAAACGATAGATCAAAGAAATAACTAAATACCTTTTAAGTAATGATGGGACTAGGATCATTAGGAAAATCTTACTCATACATAGTGTAGGATCAATTTATTGCTCTATAAGGATTTGTTTCGTTGCTTTTATCGAACGAGAATAATCTAATAAGTCCCATAACCCATTAGCACTATGTATATGAACTGCCGCATATTAGTGCACCTTTGGCGATAAGGTGTTTCAGGAATTAGTTATTTTGAGCCGCATTTAAATTATGCGACAATACTATTGGTTTATGGTGATAAAGGTCGAGACTCTAGGCCAGGGGTGGCCAACCGGTCGATCGCGAATATTAGTCCAGTCGATCGTGGCAAGGTAAAAAATACTATACATAATTGTGTACTAAACTATGCTGTTCCATTTAAGATTTCAAGAAGTATGTAAGTGTTAGATCGCCCAAGGTTTCGTTAGTAAACAGTAGATCTTATGTCTAAACAAGTTGGCCACCCCTGCTCTAGGCGATCAACTCTCTGTCTCGCTTGCACACATTTAGCAAGAGTGAGGTAGCTTAACTCAGTCAGTGCCTGAGGTATGAAAGCGGCACGGGAGGGGTGATTTTGACATATTACGACGTGACAGAGCATACAAATCTGAAGTCTCGCTGACATTTGACGTAACAAAAAACCGGCCAAGTGCGTGTCGGACTCACGCACAAAGGGTTCCGTACCATTGATTTATGAAATTAGAATATTTTTTTTTTTAATTTAAGTTATTTGTATGAAAGATTACGCGGTAATAAGCGGTTTACGATTTACGAGGTATTAAAAAAAACTACTTACTAGATCTCGTTCAAAACAATTTTCGTTGGTAGTTTTTATAGTAATGTACATCATATGTTTTTTTTAGATTTTTCATTTTCTTATTTTAGAAGTTAGAGTGGGGGGGACCAACTTTTTTCCACTTTGGAAGCGTCTGTCACGCAAACTATTCGGTTTAGAAAAAAAATGTTTTAGAAACCTCGATATCATTTTTGAAGACCTATCCATAGATACCCACACGTATGTGTTTGATGAAAAAAAAATTTTTGAGTTTCAGTTCTAAGTATGGGGAGCCCCCAATATTTATCATTATTTTTTTATTTTTGCATCAAAATCTTAATGCGGTTCACAGAATACATCTACTTACCTAGTTTCAACAGTATAGCTCTTATAGTTTCGGAAAAAAATGGCTGTGACATACGGACGGACAGACGGACGGACAGACAGACATGACGAATCTATAAGGGTTCCGTTTTTTGCCATTTGGCTACGGAACCCTAAAAATACCCTCCCGTGCCGCTCCTATATCTCAAGCACTAAGTTAAGCACTAGACTTTATAGTGTATTACTTTATTCGATATTAGTACTTGAATGTAATGTGTTATGTGTTCTGTATTCTAATATTACATTAGTGTGAGCGCATAATCGCCTCAACTCTAGCTGCGCGACCTATACTGACGCCCGTATTCACAAAGACGATGCTTGCTTAAGTAAAACAGCAAATCGAACGCACAGCGTTGAATAGAGCTCTATGACTGGTTCGTATGTTCTGTGCGTCCACGCGCACTGTGAGACCTCATGGTAATGTTTGTGAATACGGGCGTGAATTACGCGTTTAGTGATACTAGTCCAGAACTATGGTGGGCAGTGGGTCGGGTCAGCTGGCGTGGTATAGTCCGGCCAAAGCGTCTTGGAGCGCGCGTAGACACGGCAGCTGCGATGTGTAGCCGCCCGCCATTTCTGTTTCTGTTTCCCGTCTGTAAGAAAACGAAATGTTAAAGAACGGTAGTATAAATAAAACATTGAAATTAATTTAATTCTTTATACAATTTTAACCAAGATTTTAGCCGTTAGGTGGCTTTTTACACGTCTCTCTGTTTTTAGTCTCTACCAGCAATATCGTTTTATTTAACGCTCAGCAGTTGGTGCTACTGTAGAGTAAATTCCTGTTCCTTTCTAGTGGCAGAGACATGCCAGGCCAATTAGTGAGTGCTGAAGCGATGAGAGGACTATCGCATTTGCACTCACCAGGATCGCGCCACTGTGGATATTTTTTTTCAATACTAGCGGCCGCCCGCGTCTATACGCGTGGACCTCGTTTTACCCCCGTTAGATATTATGTTGATAGATGGCGTTTCACGGCTTCCCCCGAATGAACAATAGTTTGTCCAGCGCTGTAGATTTTAACCAATGACGATAGATGGCGCTTTTTAGACACGTCTTATTTATTTATTGAAATTTATTTGTCACATATCGTCATAAATTATAGCCTATATGTTAATCTGGGTTATAAACAATAATACTGTAAAGTTTCAACAAAATCCGTTCAGGTTTTTGCGTGAAAGAGTAACAAACATCCAGACATCTAGACATCCAAACTTTCGCCTTAGTACTTAAATATTAGTAAGAAGAAGTAAGACTAACTTGACATGCCGCAAGTATCCTTGCGTGTTGATTTCCTGCAGAGAAGGTGGGTCGGGCCCGCATCGGTCTGGGATCGGAGGCGCCTCGTATCGGTACAGAGGACCTTCTTCGATCGTCACCATCGGGTTCTGGTCTAGGCCACGGGTGAACTTGACTCCAGTTGAGAACTGGGTTATCTGGAATGGTAAAGGAAAATTAAGGCATTTCTACTAAGTTTTTATTGCTATAGGTAGACTCATAACTAGTTCTATTTCGTATTTGAAAATTGTATGGGGCTTTCCTTGTAAGAACTTGTTCTTATTGCTATTGATGGTTATTGTTTGACACTATAATACTGTAGAATTATTTCACATGATAATGTGGCTGCTATGAAACTCATTTAAGGTGTCCAAAATAAAGTTTTATTGTATTTGTATAGATCAGGGGTGGCCAACTTGATTAGACATAAGATCTAGTGTTTACTAACGAAACCCTGGGCGAGGACTTACATACTTCTTGAAATCTTAAATGAAACAGCATAGTTTAGTACACAATCATGGTCGATCGCGATCGACGGTTGGCCACCCCTGGTATAGATAATGGTGTCTTGAAAGCTGATATTTTGAAACTAAGAGTAAGGCCAGTGTGTATCACTAGGAATACATTTTTATAAGGACTTTTTACTAATAAAATCTACTCAACTCACCTTGGGCATAGGAGGCAAAGCCTCCTCCTGTTTATTACTAGCAATCGTCTGAGCGAATGTGTTCAATATATCCTTAGCGTCCCCCTCAGCAAACATCAACTCGTCGATAAGTGCTTCCTTCTCCCGTATCTTCTGTTTCTTGGCCTCTTGCTCCATCCTGACTAGTTCTGCTCTACGAAGCTCCTCCATCTGCTTTTCAATTTCTAGTATCTCCTCTAATTCTATTTCTTCTCTACCTGGATGTAACAAATGATAAGAAATCTTAGTTTTAGTACCATTTAGCAAAGATTAAATCAGCAACCTGGACATGCTTGGTTGCATAAATGCCAAAATTTTGACTTATGTATAAAGACATTGTAAATGATAAACAGGTCCTTTAAAGTGAGCAGTACATTGGTCAGGCGCGGATCCAGCCCTCATAAAAGGTTGTGGGCACAGCCACCAAAAATTTGCAAAGTGAGAGTTGGATCACTACATGTCCGGACATTACATACATGCCTATCGATCTAATTAAAACAATCAAATTAGGATTGTGGGCATGCCCACAGTGCCCACAACGGTGGATCCGAGCCTGACATTGGTACTTAAACACATTCAAGGTTTTCACACAACACAATTTGTACACTTTTACCAATGTAAAAGTGTACAAATTATTACACTTTTACTACAATTAGTAAAAGTGTAATAAACTAGAATCATACCACACTAGTGTAACCCAAAATAGGTCTAAGAAAAGAAAACCCTTGAATGTGTTTTATGTTTAAGTTTACTTTTGCCATAGCTTCTTGTGTGAGTTTAGTGTGAGAAGCGCATTTCGCAATAGTAGTAACTGAAGCAACCACTAAAAATTTAACAAGACATTTGTATTCAATCACACCCATACCAATTTTGGCTTTGTTTTTCATGATCAGCTCTTTATTATCCTTCTTATACTGTTCTATTCTTTTATTTGTGCCCACAATATCAATGTTATTTGTCAAATTGTAGACAATGGTCTCAATTTCTTCTAAATAATCATTGTACTCTCGTAATGTGGCAAAATCCTCTTCCTTTTTATTGTAGTCTTTGAGAACTCTCTTCCTGATGTCTATTTCTTTTTCAACCATAGGGTCTTCAAAAAGTTGAACTCTGAAATTGCTTCTGCGGAGTGGCACATTGCAATCAGGGCATGAGCCAGATCCTAAAACATAAAATATATTTGAATACAACCAATTGACAAAATAGAAATGAACATGTCAATAGAAATACTCGAACATTTTGTGTTAGAGCCTCAGAGGGGATGTTTCTGGTTGTGGTAACTCTAGAAAGACAGCGGTAGCAATTGTTTATTAATAATAGTTACCTTTCAAGAACAATAAATCAACACAACTCTCGCACAAGGCATGACCGCACACGTTTACCATCAGCTTCAGAGACGGGTTCCTGTATTTCGTTGTCTTACAACGCGGACAAGCTTGGTCGTCCATGTTGATGGAGGAATGATTACTTTAGTCACAAATGTTACTTTTGTGGCTACAATTAGCTTAAAAACAAAGATCTAAACCGAACAATTCGATGCAATTTTATTTTCGAGGTTGCTTTCAGATGCTTTGTTTGACAGAGTGACAGCTGCAGCTGGCTTGCTGTCTGATTGACTTGACAGTGACGGTTAAAGTGATGGGGTACCGTATCTTCATAATCGATTTAAACAATGAAGAATGTTCACTAATTTTGTTTTTTAGCTTTCTGTATTCTCTGTTAAAAATAAAAAATACACGTGAAAGAATTATTTCGATACGTCGATTAGTTTCCAAGATATTGAATTTTAAAAGTGCGAGCGGCGGCCGGCCCGCCATTTTATGCGCGTGACGTCATATTACAGTGACTGGCTCATATTTGTATGGGTGGAATCTTGCAAGCTGAATTAAGACCCACTTCCAGGCAACCGATTAAGCTGGAATTTCGCAAACACATGTGATTTGGATGACCATGCAATATTATGATGACATGGAGCTGATCTGATGATGGAGCTGGAAGGTGGCCATAGGAACTCCATAATAAAACGACTTAAATCCATCGAGTTTGGGTTCGTTCGTTTTGTATTGATGAGTACTTCAATTCTATATAGTAATCAGGGTCTGATGATGGAGCTGGAAGGTAATTCGCAATAAAACGAAATAATCGCATCAAGTTTGGCTTTGGTTCAATTTTAATTTCTGTGATGGGTCTGGGTGTTAATATGTATAATAAGTTTGTATTTACAAAAAAAAATTATTTTAGTATGTGTATATCCGTTTTCTAGTGAGCGGACACTGTGAATGTACGTCACGCGGGGTCACGTGACCGTCGGCGGGACTCAATATTTAAGCGAACTTTGAATGCCTATAAAATCATAACTACTGGGTATTTTTGAGTGAAATAAAAACTAATGTATTTGTAAATGTAAAAGCCTAACTGTAACATAGGTTTCAAGTGATTTTGCATACCTAGTAACATTCTCAATTTGATGGGAAATCATTTAATACCAAACTCGAGGATTTATGCTAGACAAACTTGTTTCTTCCTATTGCTATGTTATGTTCAATAGTAGGTGCTGCCCAGTGTTATTTATAAATATTTTGCCAGAAAATCTTCTAGAACAGACAACAGGTTTTCCTTCTTCAGAAATCATTTTATTAGGGAGGGAGGGAGAGTTTTTTTCATTCAAGTACACGTTTATCAAACTCTCTGTGGACTTGAAAACTTAAATTGTATTTTAAAAAATATTAGCGATGTAACTGTTTTAAGTATTAACTTTTAACTACTTAACTAAACTATACCTATTGTAAATTAATAAAAGTAAACATTAAAATTATGTATGTACAAGCTTTATAAATAAAAAAAAAATGATTTTTTTGAATGATCAAATCGCTCTCTTGGGCTTGGGGGAAGTAGGTTAAGTAATAAAAGCAATACGTTTTTAAATATTCATTAAAAATAAAAACTAAATCGATTTTTATTTTGTGCCTGGAGAATCGATATTTATTTCGATTCTGATACATATTGTTGGCAGCTCTAGACACATGTTCTCAGTTACAAATTTAAAAATTTCGAGTTCATTGACCAATCAGAATCTATTAGAAAATGTTTTTACCAATAAGAATGCAGAATTTTGACAGTTGTGAACAATAGAAAACAACATGTTTTTAAATATTTGTGAGAAGTTTTAATTCATGTTTTGCTTTCTATTTTATGTTAATATAGTCGTTAATATTTGTCAAAACATCAATAAAATATGAATTTAGCTATAAGGCAAGTGCTAACAAGACAGTCTTTTAGGCTTTGCGACAGAATTATTTATAAATCTTTACCAAAACAACTAAACATAACCTCATCATGTACTGTTACACAATTGAGGAATTACTGCGAAGACCGCGTAGAAGCGAGGAAATTGCCGCCTCTCATGGAGTTCCCGCCAATCGTATGGCCGTCGTTTATCAAGTTTGTTAAGAATTGGATGTTTTCAAATTTTATTATACGACCATACTTTGACCAAGAGTTCAGCTTACATGAGTTTATTGAAGCTTCAAAACACGCTGTTCAGGTTTGTTATTCTACCTGATTTTTATTCATTATCATCCCATTTCCATCACAATTCATGTAGAATTCCAATAAGAACTAATTAAATATTGGACCTATAAGAATGAGAACATTGTTCCCGTTCTTGATTATTTACTTACTTTGGTAACTACCTACAATGTTTTTTAATAACGAGATAGTATATCCATACTATAAAGAGCTAAGTAGCCATCTGTACCTTAAGTTTAGATAGATCATCTTACCTAAGTTTTTATTTTATTTTCAAGCCTACCGCTGCCTTATGATTAATAGCAGTGAAGTGGTTTTGATATCACATGAAGAAGTAATTTTTATTTTGTCAAAATAACGCCTAGCTGCTTTTCTAAATTCCCATTTGTTTCGAAAAAGATTGTTTTAACAAGAACCAAAACGTTGATGGGCTCCGTCAGGTTGTTTCAGATGCCCTAACGAACAGTGACTTCAAATCACTGGAAGGTCTAGTCGACAAAGATGCCATTGCCTCATTAAAGAATGCTGTCTCGAAGCTGTCAGTATCACAGAGACAGCTGCTGAGTATTCAGAAGGAAGATATATTCTATGCTTTTCCTTATCAGGTGAGTAAATTATTTAAAATCATCGTCAAAGAACTAAGTATGTACAGGATAAAAATTGTTCATTGACTTATTGAAAAAATAGTTTTTCAGCAAAACAAATTAATTAAATAGAAAAACATGCTTTTACATAAAAAAGAGACGATGGAGATGTTTTGAAAGTTCCTTTATGTCATAAGACATTTTCTGTATTTTCAGGTTGGAGTTATTTTTGACGAATCAGACAAGCGATGGGTGGAGATCACTATGTGTTACCATGTCTTGAAGGGACTCAAAAATATGCAAGATTCTGGAGATCTTCCCCCCATCTCCTTAGGGTAATTTCAAAGTTTATTATTATCTAAATCCTGGTTAAATAAAGCTGAAATGTGTGATCCATTGCAACAACTTTATTATTTACATATTGAAAAAGAGGGTGTCCTTGATTGCGCTCACAAGATGGCGCCACTAGCGAGTTCTAGGACCTTACTCGACAGTGGTGCCTTATAGGCAACCTTATAGAAAACCTCCCAATATTATTTTATACACAGTGGTGACTGAGTTTGTTGCGGCGCTTCTTCTCAACACTTGCCAAATGTTGGTCTCGAAGCACTGGTAGGGTAAAAAGATTATGAGACATGTAGAGGCTCCTTAAGAGCAAAATGACGATTTGTAAGAACTATTTATTAGTCTAAACAAATAAAGAAATGTTGACTTTGACTTTATAGATACTAACTATCCCAATATTAATTTATAGATTTCTCAAAAACAGTATTTTTCTCTTGTTACAGAACACAACCAGAATTTCAAGACAAGATATTCATATTAAACTACAGATTTATTAGAGAGTTCACAAAAGGAGTTGAAGACAGCTGGTGGGTTAACATAGTTAACCATTTCCAGCCTCAGTCGCTAATGAAAAAAATATAATCCGTCAACTTCCAACGATAAGTCCAAACCAGTCAGTTAGCCCAGATTTTTAAATAAAATTCAGTTATATTTAAATATTTCTTTTATTAAAATAGTTATTGTATAAAAATAGGTTTACTGTTCTGTTATACATTCAGTGAACCAATCACAGATTCATTAAAATCGTTAAACTTATTATAAAAATGTACAAAATTAATTCAGAAGTAGTAGTTAGTAGAGTAAATTAAGAATAGAGATTGCTTGACAAGCATAAACATACACCTTTTATAACTAAAAAATCTACAAAATCATAATACATTTGAATAGATTGCTCAAATTATCATGATTCTCAAACCCGGTAAGCCCCCAAACGCTACATCTTCCTACAGACCTATTAGTCTTCTACCGCTGATGTCGAAGGTATTCTAAAAAATTCTGTTGAAACGAATGAAGCCCCACATCGGTGATCTGATACCTGAACACCAATTTGGTTTCCGGGAAAGACACTCCACTACTGAACAGGTCCACAGAACCATAAACATCATCTCAGAAGCACTGGAAAAGAAACGATACTGCTCAGCTGCGTTCTTGGACATAAGTCAAGCCTTCGACAAGGTCTGGCATAAAGGGCTCTTGTACAAACTGAAACAGAACCTCCCATGCCCGTTCTACGAAATACTTGGGTCGTATTTGGGAGACAGATGCTTCGAAGTCAGATCAGGAGACTCTTGTTCTGCCCTATGCAACATAGCGTCCGGTATACCCCAGGGTAGTGTTTTGGGGCCCGTGCTGTACCTATTGTTTACCGCAGACCTGCCAACAACTACAAATACATTCACAGGCACCTTTGCTGACGACACGGTAACAATGGCAACACACGACGATCCAGTCACGGCCTCACTCTATCTCCAGGAAAGCCTGACGGAAATGGAGAAATGGTACCATTCATGGCGTATTAAAGCGAACGGAGAAAAATCTGTGCATGTAACCTTCACTCTCAGAAGAAACTCCTGCCCACCGGTCAAACTTAATGGTATCCAAATACCTCAGGCTGAGGACGTTAGGTATCTGGGCTTGCACCTGGACCGCAGGCTAACCTGGAGAAAGCATATATGGACAAAGAGGAAGCACCTAGATGCCAAACTAAGAAACATGATGTGGCTTGTCGGAGGCCAGTCACAGCTGAACACCAGTAGCAAAATGATGGTCTACAAAACCATCCTTAAACCTATCTGGACCTACGGGATACAGCTGTGGGGAACAGCTGCCAACTCCAATCTCGACATAATCGAGCGCTTTCAGACAAAAGCCATACGTTTGATTTACCAAATCCCATGGTATATCAGCAACAAGCTCATCTATCAGGACTTGCCATTGCCCACAGTCAGAGAGGAAATAAAGAGCCACACACTCCGCTACAAGGATAGACTTTCAAATCATCCAAACTCTTCAGTACAACAACTCATGACCATTGAAGGCTTCCTATTCAGCAGACTGCAAAGAGCTAGTGTCAGGGGTCTCCTTAGTAGATTCCATGACAGTTGAGAAACCATGATCACTGAGGGCAACTGAGTCACTGGACTCCACCCTACCCATGACAAAGAACAGTGCAAACGGACACAGGAGTGGATTATTGTAGTTCCCTACAGATTGCCGCTGGGACCACGGATATAAGAGAAAAAAAAAAAAAAAAAAAAACATTTGGAGCAACATTTTTGAAGACATAGCATCTATCATGACATTTAATTAATATATTTGTACCTACATGTAATAGCACCAATAATTGCTTAAAACTATCTACTTTAGGGACAACCTCAAAACACAACACACTTTTCGAATTTTTCAGTAACTTCTTTCATTTTTGCTAAGGTTGCAGCTGCATCACCTGAAAGCAAAGCATAATAACGATTAAAATACACTAATGTTTTCACTAAGAATTAAAACGATCTAAAACATCCTTCGTGTGACTTCAATCTTTCGAAACATGCATTTCAAAACCAAAAATGTATTACCTTTGACAGGGTCATACAGGGACCTCTTTGCTACCCCACATTGAACTTTCAATGGCTTTTGCTTCCTTATTGAATTCTCAACATCTGAAAAATAATATTCTTCTGTTAAAAAACAGTGGCTACTATAGCCAAGCAAATGCTAAATCTTTAAGATAAAGTACTGTAATGGTGAGCTGTGGTAAGAGCTGATATCAAGAACTATTTTCTGTTCTTATCTGAGTTTTATTAGTATCATTCGTCATTTGCATATTATAAGACACCCAGCAGACTACAGACTTTATGCTGTTAAACAGTGAGAATAGGTATAGTCCGGTCGCCGAGCACTTCGAATTTCGTCCAATGACCCCAAGCTACCCATCCTTATCGCTCGCGTGTAAATGTATTGCTGTCGAGACTGTGCGACGGGCGGCCGCAGTGAGTGTGCGAGCGCGACAGCAACATAATTACGCGCGAACGATAAGGATGGGTAGCTTGGGGTCATTGGACGAAATTCTACGGGTTCGGCGACCGGGCTTTATTTTAAAATGTACGTACCACCATGAACTTTATCCAGCAAGCTGTTAACATCCAAATCATCGCCTAGTCTCGTACACAACGCATTCACGTACAGGCTACTTCCAGGCACAATCCTCGCAGAATCACCGGTCTTCAATTCGTACGTCACATTGTCGTCTAGTGTCGTCGAACATTCAATTTCCAAGACTTCGTACGCTGCGTGCGACGACTGCGTGGAGTAGGCAATAAGCAAATTGTTGAATGTCGTGTAGTCTTCGGAATCTGGTATAGAAGTGAAGATCTTGGGGTTTGATGTCCTGCAATGAAATAATATCTTTTTTTAACACTAGGTGAGGTTGAACAACCACAACAAAACACACAAACACATTCATATCTAATGTGATTTTTAATCCTTCAAGTTCCGCGAATCTAGACACAAATAATCAATTGTTACGCAGTAGTCGGCTACCGCTTGCGGGTTGAGAGGTTAAATAGCTTAAAAAGCATAATCATGACAACTTTTTATCAATCATACTGTAACAAAATTATTGTAGTCATCAACTATGCCATAGTGTAAAATATCTAAGGTTGAGTGCACCACCTAACTGACCGTAACTTTAACAATAACTGGTGTTTTTTGTATGGAGCTTTACAGATTTTTGACATTTGTCAAAGTTAAGTAAGATGGCGCAACTAGGGTAGCCAGGTGTCCGGCTTTAGCCGGACATGTTTGGCTTTTTACGGTCTTGTCCGGCCAAATATTGGCTTGTCCGGCTTTTGTTAGGCTTTTTATGTGGCTGCAATGCCAGGCGAAAGTCGAGTTACAGAATAATATAAAGCGCACGCATTATATTATATAGTACTCACTCCTGAGCTATGACACTAAGACATGTCCGGCTTTTAGGGTAAAATGTCCGGCCAAATGAAGCACAGAGTCCGGCTTTTGTGTTTTTGGACCTGGCAACCCTAGGTGCAACCCAGCCTTTTAGTGTAAATGCTATGGAGAGGGCTATGCTAGGTGTTTCTTTGCAAGATCGAATCAGAAATGAGGAAATCCGTAAACAAACTAAAGTCGCTGACATAGCCCGACGGATTAGCAAGCTGAAGTGGCAAGGGGCAGGGCACATAGTACGCAGAACTGACGGCCGATGGGGCAGCAAGGTTCTGGAATGGAGGCCGCTACCAATCGATCAACGTGGAAAGCATTAGGGGAGGCCTATGTTCAGCAGTGGACGTCCTATGGCTGAAATGATGATGATGATGATGATTGCCTAAAATCCATTTTATTACCTGTCTAAATTAAACCGACACGCGTCCATTATGAGCACACAGAGCTCTGGTTTGACTTTAGCCGCTTCTTTTAGGATGAAGTTCTCTGTGAGGCAGTGGTCAATCTGAATGTCTTCGGTGGGGCATTCAATGCCGAGCAAACACGCCATTTTACAAAGTTCTATGCCGTGCCCAGCTAGGAATACGAAACCTGGAAATGAGATAGAGATATTAGGCGTAATTTTCAATAAAAATGGTCTAATGGACCAAAACATTATTATAGATTTTTTTATTTACGTTGTCAATTATAATGAGTACTTATAATAATTAAGTAAGCATTAAGGTATATTATCAAAAGCAATGTAATACTTCCATACAGTTTAGAACTGTGCTAATTGTTAATCACTATAATTTCATGAGTCATTGAGGAAAGTAATAAAAATTTACCATGAAAAATAACAACTTACAATAGGAGTCTTCAGGTATTTCTTGAATTACGGTGCTCAATATTTCTTTCAATTCCTTGCTGTGGGTATTTTTTATGGTCACCACTATAAATCCCAAGTTTTTCAAGTTCGCAGCGAGAGAATCACAGTCCATAGAAGGGGTGGCCAACTTCGAGAGCCGCTGATATTTGTCGTTGGCGATCAGAATAGCCACTTTCGTCTGCGGCCGGTAGTAAGTAATGATAGTTTTGACTTGAGAAGCAGATACCAAGAAATTCTTGTACTGGCTTAATGAGTATCCACGCCTGTCAAGAGTTTTCAGTAACACCTCGCCAGGCTTTTCGTTATCGGTAAATGATATCCTGAAAACAAATTCGGGTGAGGTAACTACTACACCAAATACATAAGGCACATATGGCTGTGGCCGGTTTTACTTACGTTAAATTCGCCAAATCAGCTATAACTTCGCATTTTCCTTTCGGTAATGCCAAGGCAGCAAGATAATCTTTGTATGGCAAGTTTTGGATCAGCGACATTTTGAAAAACAATGTACGACAATCTAGATACTTGATTCTCGATTTTGATGAAGATTATTCAACAAAATTACCATTCAGTAAAAATTAATAAAAGTTTAAAAACAATAAAATTGAGTGGGTTATTAATATTCTGCTTCAATGGTGCGAATTTAAATTAATTGGTAAGTTTACAAACAAAGCAATGTCATTAGTGTCAAAAATAACTTTTTTAATTAGACTTTTTTTTTGTAAAATAACGGCTGTTGGCTAAGTGTGGCCATCCGACTGTCAAAAGAAATAGGGTTGTAAATAATAATTTTTCGTATAATCGACTGTAGTTTTTAGTTGTTCGAATTAATTAATCGTTTTAAAAGAATTATTATTTTAATATTGCTGTGTAGACTGAACTAGGATAATAATATTTTGGATGTTAATTCATAGCCAATTTGCCTTTCTAAAAACCTTAACATGCCTTTAAATTATCTCAGATACGTAGGTCTATTTTAAATGTTATTATAAACCTCCGTTATTTAATAAAAGGAGTAAAGAGATTACGTTGTGAATTTAAGTAAAATAGCATGATTTTATTCATACATGAATATCGACTAACCCCACTCAATTTCTGTAAAAATTATGATTAGTAAAAAAATTAGAAGCCTAATCATACATCCCTATTCCATAGACAGACCGACCATCCATCATAATTTTAGCAAAATGGCCATCGGAGTAGATACGTCAAAGTGGAAACCAAGAAAAATTAAAGGAACTCCTGCTGCTAGATTTAGAAATGCGCTTGGTTTAGGCATTCTAACTTTTGGAATTATCAGTGGTTGCATACTACAGTAAATATCTGTCGTTTAACTTTGTCTTTTTGATTTCTTTGAGGTTATCATTCAGACTGTAAACAATGAAATTTATTTCCATTTCAGTTTCTCCAGTGCAACAGAAAAGTATCGAAAAGCTTTTGAGGTGCTATATGAAGATCCTATAGAAGAAGTAGAACGAAAGATAATGATTGCTAGTGGTCTTCCTAACCGGTCTCCAGCTACAATAAAAAGAATCGAAAAGGAATTATCAAGGATCGACAGACCTGATACATAAGTTATGAATATAGAGAGTAATAGTAATAGGTATGTTGTTTTTATGTAGTTACTGGGCTAAATGAATAAATTATTTACATAATTAACATTGTTTTATTGCAACAGCAAGAATCACAGTCCATGCAAAGTGGTGAGCAAATATTTCCAGAACAGTCCTGTTATGGATGAGAGTTTGTCGGAATTTAAAGAGAAAAAAGGCAGTTGTAAAGGACCCAAGAACTCTCAAAAGTCAACTGAACAGCAACCAAAGAAGACAAAGCAGAAAAAGCCTCCAAAACGAATTAAAGGACAAAAAGACATTCGGACTGTTCTAAAATCTAAAAAGAACGATCAATTGACTTATGCCAAGGAGTTTGATGAAGTTTGCAAACAAGCTGGTGTTGATATAGATTCTGAACAGCTACAATTAGCTATAGCATTATCAAAGTCTTTACAATCATCGGAGGACAATAAAAGTAGTACTAGTCAAAAGCCTTTGAGTTCTCAGGAAAGGACAAAAAAAATTCGAACCACTTTGCAAGAGTATGGATTTGCTATTCCAGAAATAAAAATAACTAATAAGAGAAGGTTGAAAAGGCCTAGAAAGCAATACAAACTTTTACTATCAAGTGACACGGAAAAGCAACAAATTATAAGTGATAGATATTCACAGGTGCTATTTACAAGTTCTCTCTCTAATAAGGCTCTAAATGAAAATGGTATAGATTATTCGATTATAAAATGTTATCATGTTGCAACAGGAATATCTTATGAAACTTTACAGAACAACAATATTTTGTATGTTGAAGATTTAGTTGAAAAATCTACTAGTAAAGGAAGATTGCTTAGAGACTGGGCTGATATACCAGGCAGACCAAAAAGTCCAGTCAAGCAAGAATCTACCAATATGAACTTTAGTGAAATAGAATGTTCGCAAGACGAACTTGACATTGTTCTTAGTGGAACATTGAAGTCTGCTAAAGATATTGTAAAGAAAAAAGTTAATTCATTATCAAATAACACACCTACAATTTTTATTGATGTTGATACTGATATAAATCATAGTAATAATGATAGAACTCTGGTCACTAAAGAATCTAACAATACAGATACCATTGATTGTAAAAATGGATCTTCACTGATCTCAAATAGAGTCAGGAGTTGTTCTCCAGATATCTTTGATGATGAAGTGTCCGTTATTTTGACTGATAGTCATGATACAACAATCAAAGAATCTGAGAAATCTATCAAAGAGGATGATACTATAATGGACTTAACAGGAGATGAACAGGATACAGAAAATGCAGTGAAAATAAATGACTGTCAATTAATGCATGAAAAGAAACAAAATACAAGTGTTGTAGATTTAACACAAACAGATTTAAACAATCACACAGAGTCTGAACAGTATCTGTTTACAAAGAAACCTAGTAACCCAGAAAAGCCAACCCAGGGTTCCCAGAACTATACCAGAAGAAACTCAGATGACTTGATGGAAATAACTGAATGTGTAGGAATTTCTGAAAAAGTTAACCCCAGTCCAGCCAAAGAAAAAAGCACAGCATCTCAAGACTCAAATGATGAAGTTAGAAGGTCTTCTGATGAATTCATGGAAGTCATTGCTTGTGTTGCAAAAACTTGTTCACAAGCTAGTTCAAATGAAGATCCACACATAACATCGCAAGTTACAGACAAAACCAAAAGAAAGTCAAACGATTTTATGGAAATGACTGAATGCATAGCTAGCACCTCTTATTCTGTTCCAAAGAATGTTGAAACTGATATTGATCTCACTCAACAATCAGATGAAAATGAAAGAACTGTGGTAGATGGAACAGCTAAGAACATAGTAGAGAATGTAGATCTGTCTCAGTCATCAAATGAAGATGAATTACCTATTGTTGAGATGAGCCAAAGTAACAAGTCATTAGATGACACTATATTATTAAATAATGACGAAATTGATATTATAAAACCAAAAGTTGCTAATAATACTGATTCAAAACCTATTGAATTAGAAGAAACACTTGATCTATCAGATACTTCAAGACCTGTTAAATCAGACAATTATCTTAGGCCATCGAATCATAGCTTTTTCGACGAATTTGTACACAATCACTCTGATGATGGAACTAAAGAATCTTTAGAAAAATCTTGTGAGATAGAGAGTCAGATCCATTTATTAGGTGAAGAAAATAATGATAATGAAGGAGTAGATTTGACCCAATCATCTAATTCATCATTGGCAAGTAGAGAACCAGTCAGTGAAAACAATACTAGCATACAAAGTTCAAAAAGTGTTGAAAAAATTCAAGATGTATCAATTGATTATGATGAAATGTTTGATGCAATATCAAAAAACGAAACTGGTACTTCAAAACGAGATCTATCCCAGAACTCAGTTGCTTCTCAAATGACTGATGAAAAAGATGGCAATGTATCAGAGACATATAGCAGAAGTTCTCAGGTGTTTGACATTTCTGATAAAGAGCTTGAGTATTCTATGAATAAATCAAGATATGAAGGAGCTTGGGGTGTTGATTTTGGTGGTATTTCAGTCGTTGACAATGATTTGTCTTTACATAAGCCTGGGAATATTGAAAAGGGAACTAGCGAATCTATAAACAGATCTACAAATGATAGCTTCTTGCCTGCAGTTGACATTAAAAGCAGTATGATTAAACCAAAGAAGAAATGTATATTAAAGACACCAAATATGTTACCTAAAAATGAACTAGCTACTCCGTTGAAGGCATTTACAAATGATAATGCATTTACTATAGACACACCTACCAGTAGTGAGTATTTTCTGAAGACTGACCAGGTGACTCCGATGCTAGATTTTGCAGCAATGTCTACACCAGAGAGGAATAGAGAACTGGACAAATATGGACTTAAGCCTTTTAAGAGAAAAAGAGGTAAATACATTCAAACTTACTTATAAGATTATTTAATAATGTAAATGTAAGGGAAGATAAACTGATAATTTGTTAGTTTCACCAAACTATTGAACCAATTTGTTTTTAAAAATGATTGGACCATAAAGAAATGTTATATTATTTTCGTTACAAACAATTTCTTATTAAATTCTTTCTACTGCATTCCTAAAACTTGATTCTATTTCCTTCCAGCTATTCAACTACTGACACACCTGTACAATCAAACTCATCCCGTTGTAGAATCCTGTCAAGAGGAGCTACCTTCTCCTTCCAAAAGACGAAAAACTAGCCAAGAATCTCCCAAAAACCACAAATCTCCAAGAAAATCACCAAGAAAACTGTTGAAATCGCCGACAAAAAGATCTCAAGCAGTAGAGAATTTAAACGATTGCAGTAAAGACAGTAATGTGTATGAAGTGACTAATGAAGTTCCAGAAATAAAAGCAATCTTGTGTTCAGAAGAAGACTGGGTCTTTCAGAAACGGGAAAAGGCTAAGGTACTATTATTTTATATTTATAACATTACTTTTTAACGAATTTTGTTTCGACTAACAGTAATATTATAGAAATCCAAGAGTGACCTACCAATAAATTCGTCATTGTGTGAAATAGTTTAGTGATAGCGCCACCTCTTGGAGAAGTGTTACACTACGATAGCACGCACTGATCGATCTTGATTGCTTCGTATCCCTAACTGCCATTAGATGGCGTTGGTTGTTAAGTAAAATATGAAATTGTTAAACTAACTTTCCTAACAACAAAACTTGCCTTCATGTGAGTTGGAAAGTTTAAAATGTAATTTCCATAAAAAAGGCTAGCCAACATAGTCGCGCCACATTGTGTTGCCTAGTCTCATCATCATCATCATCATTATCATCACAGCTATAGGACGTCCACTGCTGAACATAGGCCTCCCCCAATGCTTTCCATGTTGCCCGGTTGGTAGCGGCCTGCGTCCAGCGCCTTCCTGCTACCTTTATGATGTCGCCGGTCCACCTTGTGTTACCTAGTTGCCTAGTTTATTGTTATTGAAACCTGTTGAACCATTCTGTCATATTCAAACCTGATTTTCATAATTCCAGGTGCAGTCCTGCCGCGTTCCCTTGCATATATCGCTTCACAACTACGTGTCGTGTAGACGAAAACTATATGAGGCTATATTGCGTTACGAGCCCGTTAACATTGACGTTATACATAAGGAGTTGGTGGCCAGCGGACATCGCTACGATCCTAAGGTAAGGACTTTTCAGTACCAACGGATATATTGCTGTCTCAAAGTAGTGGTAGGGCAAGCTATATTGCGACGTGTATGTGTGCCTAGAAAAGGGCACCAATAAATAATTTAAAATTGAATTTGGACATTGAAAAGTCCAAAGAGAAAAACGTCCGTTGCAAAAAAATACAAAGACGTCGTTCATACTTTGTCGTTACGCGTTTTCTTATTTCGCTATTGCTAATTTGGTTCAGTTATAAAACGCTAGATGGCGTGAAAACTGGATTTGATTTGATGAATTGTGCGATCATAAATTTTTAACTATTTGACTATTTTATTTTTGGAATAATAACCTTAATTAATTAAACTTTGTTGTTAAGATATTAAATACTCAAAGTCATGTAAGAAACTAATACTATATTGCAATTCTGTTCACTATAATGCTTTATATTGTCGCTCTCTAGGCTAGTCTTTAATAGGTAAATTAAAACAAGTCTACAAGTCAATATTATAAAAAAATCTTTGTTTCAGGATCTTTTGAGGTACTTGGACAAGAAATGCATAACCGTTAAAACAGCTGACAACAACGCAAGGAGTAAAAGATAATTAAGTTGAACATAAATCATGATAATATTTATGTAAATATTAAAATTAAACTAGTAAATAAAAATGTATTTTTTACTTTATACTGTCTACTTTATTTGCTGTTATTTTATGATAAAACACCGAAATATTTACTAAATTAGGTGATAAAATTTCCTGGATAGATAGATTAATATCCAGTTTTTTCAGTGTCTAACAAATGATTAGTTGAAATAAGATTAATATATAGTTTTTTCAGTGTCTAAGAAATGATTAGTTGAAATAAAAAGAAGTAAATTGATTAAAATCATTTATTTGTTTCTTATCTTTTGTCTTTGATATTGAAATAGAACTCGAAATGAAGCTTAAAAAGTAGAAAAAAAAATAAAACTAAAATGTTAACTAAATAAAAAGAAAAGTAAAAATAATAAAATAAATCACTTAACTCTAACTAATTAAAAAAGTAGAAATTATTAATCTAATAGGTACACACAATAATAAAACAAAAAAACCTAATACAAAAAGACTTATAGTAAAATTAATAAAACATAGAAAATGAAAATGTATGAAATATTTATAGTAGTTAGATCCCAAGATATCTGAAACAATACAAACAAAACATCATGTTACATCAGAAAAAGAGCTTGGAAGAAGTTTTATTGAATGTACTCGTGAAATTTGATTTTATGTTCAAAAATGATTTTATCACAGATAACATTATTATGTAAGTGTGAATACAATATTAAATTGAAATTATGTACATTTAATTAATTTTGGACAAGTCCTTAGACAAGTTCAATGCATGCAAAGGTGGTCTTATCGCAGCAAGATTGTATCGAATAATCAAGAATAATTTAATTAGTTCTCCATCAATAGATGGCGCTGTCTGTTCTTTAATTCACGATGGTATTTTGAAAAACAACCCTCTCGCCGAACTTACTTTAAATTCATGGCATGAGTTACCACCGAGTGACGCCCACCAACGTATGCGGTCCTCTGGTTACTTCCATAGGGAGCTTTGCTCTCGTCACTGCATTGCTGCAGGATAGTGCTACGCCATGGCCAGCCGAACAGTCGATCCGATACGCAAATATTATACTGAATATTACGTTCGCGATCTTCCAGTTCGACTTAAGCCTTGCCAAAATGCCCCTGGAAAGAAACATGTCGGTTAGACACTGCAAATACTGCATCAATGTCATCAATAAAAGCGTAAGTTTACTGATTGACTGACTCATCATCATCATCATCATCATTTCAGCCATAGGACGTCCACTGCTGAACATAGACCTCCCCCAATGCTTTCCATGTTGATCGATTGGTAGCGGCCTGCGTCCAGCGCTGACTGACTCACTCATCATGAAATCTCAGAAACTACAATTTAAGTGCTAGGAGTCTCAAATTTTGCATGGGGGTTCCTTTTAGAACGTAGGTGCTCTTTATGACGGGATTTTGCAAATTCAACTCCCCTAGGAAGGGGGGTAAAACGGGTTCCACGCGAACGTAGTCGCGGGCTGCCACTAGTATTGAATCATCGTGAGTGATTAGTTCTCCGCGTCATCAAGAGATGGCGCTGTCTGTATCCTAGTTCGCGATTGCATTTCGTTTTACCGAGAATATAAAGACCCCCGCCCGACTTTGTTCAAAATCAATCATGGCTTGACTTACCACCGGGTTTTGGCCGCCCGGTCCATCCACGGGGCGGAGAGCTCATACTCCGGAGGCGCCTGGCCCGGGTACCCGGGAGACATGGTCACAATGAGGAGCACGACGTGAGCCAGCTCCCGGATACGCACCCGGTACGTCCGGGCCACCTCGCTCTCCGCGGACCAATCATCTCCGTATATGGAGTTGAGGGCCTGTACCTCCTCATCCTGAAACAATTTAAAACCAAATTGTGAATTAAAGCGTTTTAAACGCCAAAAAACACTTCTTGTTCAGTTCACTCCACAGTCAATAATGAGAGAAGTTCTCCGCACTGCTGAGATGACGCTAATTGCAAAATAAATCGCGGTTTTAAATCGAAATATAAAATCTCCGATTGGCGATAATTCACTTACTTGCGGACGGACAAGTCCGCTGCGGCACACTAGCTGCGCGGTCGCCAGCGGAAAAACAATGGGCCCGAAGGATTTGCCGACTTAGGTGGCCACATTATCGAGTATGGGATGATGCATCTGTACCAGTATTATTATATTATCTGTGACAATGGTATTTTGAAAAACTCAACCCTCTCGCCGAACTTACTTTAAATTCATGGCATGAGTTACCACCGAGTGACGCCCACCAACGTGTGTGGTCTGGTTACTTCCATAGGGAGCTTCGCTCTCGTCACTGCATTTCTGCAGGATAGTGCTACGCCATGGCCAGCCGAACAGTTGATCCGATACGCAAATATTATACTGAATATTACGTTCGCGATCTTCCAGTTCGACTTAAGAGCGTTTACGCCGATTGGCGCAAAAACAGTACTTTTTCAACTCGTTACAATCATTAACCAGTAATATTACAAATATGTTATAGGCATAAATAGTTAGGCAATTTCGTCGTCTAAATAGTTAATTGAGAAAATATTGCGATTAGTTTAGTATTTAAGAATTCTATCAAGATAAGTCCACACAGGTTTTGTAAATTTCCACTTTAGCGTCAGTTTACAAGCCCACCGTGTTCATAATGAAATAATCTTTATTTTCATTTATATTTGATTAAATTATCAGACCGATGCAAAATGCTCTATCAATTTACCTGTTTATACCTGGCAACCCGAGAGTTATGACTGAAAAAGAATAGGCAACCTAACGTTTGCATATTTTATGGGCTTCATACTTTCGATTGGTATGGAGTTTGTTTAATAATCAAACCGATGAAATATTTAAAAATAAAACTTTTTTTAATGATTAATTAATCATATCCTGGACTGAAATTTATTAGGCAACCCTTAAGCAATATAATTATTGACATGTTAAATTGAATATAAAATATGTTTCATCAAATAAGCATCTCGATGAAGGTCGTTGTATAGCGGGATCTTATACTAATACGCAACGAAACGAACTCGAAAGTTTTTCGTACTAGAGGTACAGAACGAAACGAACTCGAAAGTTTTTCCTACTAGAGGTACAGTTCACTCCACAGTCAATAATGAGAGAAGTTCTCCGCACTGCTGAGATGACGCAAATTGCAAAATAAATCGCGGTTTTAAATTAAATCGAAATATAAAATCTCCGATTGGCGATAATTCACGCATCAATGTCATCATTAAAAGCGAAAGTTTACTGATTAACTGACATATCATCATCATCATCATCATTTCAGCCATAGGACATCCACTGCTGAACATAGGCCTCCCCCAATGCTTTCCATGTTGATCGATTGGTAGCGGCCTGCGTCCAGCGCTGACTGACTCACTCATCATGAAATCTCAGAAACTACAATTTAAGTGCTAGGAGTCTCACATTTTGCATGGGGGTTCCTTTTAGAACGTAGGTGCTCATTATGACGGGATTTTGCAAATTCAACTCTCCTAGGATGGGGGGTAAAACGGGTTCCACGCGTACGTACTTAGTAGCGGGCTGCCACTAGTATTGAATCATCGTTAGTTCTCCGCGTCATCAAGAGATGGCGCTGTCTGTATCCTAGTTCGCGATTGCATTTCATTTTACCGAGACTATAAAGACCCCCGCCCGACTTGTTCAAAATCAATCATGGCTTGACTTACCACCGGGTGACGACGACCAGCGTGTTCCGCTGGTCCATCACCTCCATGAGGTGTAGCATGCGGCCGCGTGCGCCTCGCCGTTGTCAGAACATTTGCAGGTGCAAGGAGCTGCCCTGGCCAGCCGAACAGTTGATGTGATACGCAAACATGTTATGTTTTGCGTTCAGGATTTTTCTGTTCGCTAAGGCTTGCCAAGACGGCACTGAAAATAAGCATGGCGGTTAAAATACCTACACTGCAAATACATTTTTGCGGTGTTACATTTATATCAGCGTTGTAAATGAGAAGGCGCACCAATGATATTATATAAAAACAAAAGCAGATATGTTACAAGCGCTCGCGCTGTGAATACTCAAATACGTCCCAATTGGGACGTCTTGTGTTTAGTCTTCGTGTGGCCTGCGTCGTGCGCAATCGCGTGCGTACCACACCGTAAGTTCCTGTGTTCTTACCAAAATAAACAAAAAATGCCNATGATATCACTGAGGCACAGGCTGAGGTAATTCGTGGATACCGCATAGTATCCGCAGTCCGAAAAGACGGACTGCGGATACTATGCGGTATCCCCGGTTATGGACACTGACTATGTCCCTACTGAGGATAAATGGGAAAAAAATTATTGACATTAGTGGCGACGTACAACAATCCTACTAATATTATAAATGCGAAAGTTTGGATGTCTGGATGNTTACAAGCAGAAATTTTTATAAAAATACTGTTAAAACGATTTAACAAACATTTATATCCTATAGCATAGATCCTTGGGCAAATAGTTATCTGAGAAAATTTTTAGATTTAAGCATTTTACAATAAGAAATCACAAATTAAAAAAACGTGAAATACCCAAAAATCAAAGTGATTTTTACACCATTATTCTTCTTTAATTCAACATAAAAATAGCTTAATATAATAAAATAACATCTTCTTTAAAATATTTACTTTGAAAAGATATATAATTCATTGTTATTGTTTTGCTATAAGCATTTGGAAACTATTAAAAAACGCCGCGCGCGAATAATTTCCAATGATGCCCCTTGAAACGCCGCGCTTCGCGTAAACGCTCTTAAGCCTTGCCAAAATGCCCCTGGAAAGAAACATGTCGGTTAGACACTGCAAATACTGCATCAATGTCATCATTAAAAGCGTAAGTTTACTGATTGACTGACTCATCATCATCATCATCATCATTTCAGCCATAGGACGTCCACTGCTGAACATAGACCTCCCCCAATGCTTTCCATGTTGATCGATTGGTAGCGGCCTGCGTCCAGCGCTGACTGATTCACTCATCCATCATGAAATCTCAGAAACTACTACAAGGGCTAGGAGTCTCAAAATTTGCATCGGGGTTCCTTTTAGAACGTAGGTGCTCATTATGACGGGGATTTTGCAAATTCAACTTCCCTAGGAAGGGGGGTAAAACGGGTTCCACGCGAACGTAGTCGCGGTCTGCCGCTAATATTGAATAATCGTGAGTGATTAGTTCTCCGCGTCATCAAGAGATGGCGCTGTCTGTATCCTAGTTCGCGATTGCATTTCGTTTTACCGAGAATATAAAGACCCCCGCCCGACTTTGTTCAAAATCAATCATGGCTTGACTTACCACCGGGTTTTGGCCGCCCGGTCCATCCAAGGGGCGGAGAGCTCATACTCCGGAGGCGCCTGGCCCGGGTACCCGGGAGACATGGTGACAACGAGGAGCACGACGTGAGCCAGCTCCCGGATGCGCACCCGGTACGTCCGGGCCACCTCGCTCTCCACGGACCAATCATCTCCGTATATGGAGTTGAGGGCTTGTACCTCCTCATCCTGAAACAATTTAAAACCAAATTATGAATTAAAGCGTTTTAAACGCCAAAAAACACTTCTTGTTCAGTTCACTCCACAGTCAATAATGAGAGAAGTTCTCCGTACTGCTGAGATGACGCTAATTGCAAAATAAATTGCGGTTTTAAATCGAAATATAAAATCTCCGATTGGCGATAATTCACAACTTTCGCATTTATAATATTTGTAGGATAATATTACACTTGAATGAGGGTTTCCTAATTGCGCTCGACGCTCACCAGTTGGCGCCACTGGCGAGTAAGGTCAGTTGCTTGTGGCTAAGACAGTGGCGCCGCCAATATTATATAGGTACATAAAATAAACATGACAACTGAATTTTGGCAGTAAATAATATGTAGATACTGTGGGCTGTGTCAGTTTACAGCAAACGCGCTCACTAGTGAGTGCGTTTAAAAAATGTATGAAAAATTTAGTTTTTGAACGTTTCCCGCTAGGGGCGCTGTTCAATCCGTCATACATTTAATGTCATTTTTTGACGCGCTCACCAGTGAGCGCGATTGATAAAAACTCACACTAGGCCCTCAAATCTATCTACTAATAGATATATTAATAAACCTAACGTCAAAATTATACACTTGGTAACCAATCAGACCTTATTCTGGGATCAGTTAGAAAATAATTGTCAGTTTGACAAATGACAGTCTAAATAATGACATTTTATAGAATGAAAAAAGTCCCAACTAGTGTTGTCGCTAGAGCCTACTATCGATACACTATCAAAAGAAGAACGGTCACGCCCCATACAAAAAAAACCCAGACCCGACAGAAACGAGACATACCTCAGTTTTGTTGTCATGTCTTAATTAGTTAAATTGTATATTTTTTATATTCGAAATCTATGTATAACACCAAAATATTACCCTTTGTTTTTGTTTAGGCGTTATACAAAAACTAATACATAATGCCTATTTATCACCAAAATTGGTAAATGTATGTACCTAAATGTCTATTACAGCTGCTATGGAATGTATCTAGGTGACCTGGAGATACAACCGGATTATACAGGGTGGGTTATACATATTGAACGATAAGTCATCTCACTCGATTATTTCTAAACTATACAAGATATCGAAAAACTAGTTACTGATTCTGAAAGTGCTTCACGAGCTCTTTCAAATGGTACCATTAATAGGGTACAGATTATGGAAGCTGGTAACATTGAATTTTTGGATTTTGTAACTTATAATTTTTTCCACCCTGTATAATCCGGCTGTATCTCCAGGTCACCTAAATACATTCCATAAATTCAATTCAATACATTCCTAAATACATTCCAAAAATTCCACAAATCGGATTTTATAAAATAAATTTTATAAAATCCGATTTGTATGAAAATTAAAATAATTAAAATGAAGATATCAATTTTTTGACTCCACCATACCATTTATATGACCATGTTAACATGGGCTAGTGTCGGCTCATATACCCATTTACCTAACACCCTGTATAATTTAACTAATTAAGACATGACAAAAAATCTGAGGTATGTCTCGTTTCTGTCGGGCCTGGGTCACAGCTGACCGTTCTTCTTTCGTGAAAAAAAGATAATATCCATCTTTGTAGTCAATTTTCGATAGTATTGCCCTTTACTATTTTCTTAGGGGGCGTCCATAAATTACGTGAGACAATTTTGGCTATTTTTCAACCCCCCCGCCCCCCTTGGTGAGATTTGGTGAGATTTTGCCTGACCCCCTCCCCCACCCCCAAATCTCACGTGATATTAAAAAAAATCCGAAATTTAATAGTTTTGGAGTAATATTAAACATTTTTTTTGTGTGCTTTAACGTTGTTGCTAACGAGTGCATCAAAAAGATATATAAAGTTTAAGATTTTAGTTCTTGATAGTATCTGCTAGGGACGCTGT